GCCCAAAACCCCAAAACCCCAAAACCCCGCATATCTTTTGGTAATTTAATTTTAGAAATACAAAATCTTAAATTTTAAAAAGAAATCGATAAATAAAGCTATAAAATACCTTTTAAGAAGGTTTGTAGCTGTAAGTTCACTCGACTGGGATAGTGGTATCGAGTCCTAAAGATATGACAGCTCCTAAAGCGCTTACCGATATAAAAGTTAGCATCGGAATAGGAGCAGATGCTTCTACAAAGACTGGAGCAAATATTCCTGCAAATCTGCTCATCATGTTTCCTAGAGAGTATGAAGTCGCTTTGATTTTTGTAGGGAATAATGTCACTGCACCGATCAGACAGATCAAATAAGCAGCTGATACTCCAAAGTTCGAGAAGAATACAAGAGCTGATATGATGTTTTCGTTAGTTTGAGATTGGAAGATCATTAGTAAAATGCCAAAGACGACGCTAATCATAAATGAGATGAAGAATGCTAGTCTGATTCCTAGGAACAGATTTATCACACCGATTATTAGAGTTCCTGAAACATCAGCCAATGCTGCAAAATTTGTGTTCTAAAATACATCCCCACTAATATTTTTTATTTAAAGCTTCATGAAGATAAATCCGAAGTAACCTAAAAACCACATAGCACACATTATATAGAATCTCTTCATTAGAACTTTGTCTGAATTCCTCAAAAGTGATATGAATTTTTGATAAAGTCCCATTTAAGGAGTAATTTTCTTTTACTATGATAAATTATTATCTTTTTGCTCTATCTCATTTATCAAAATAAAATCTAATCTAGAATTGTTATTGATCATGCTCATATTTTGAATTATTTCTTTGGCCTCATCATACTTTCCAATATTTACAAGATATTTTGGTGACTCTGGAACGAAAATACTGAAGATAAAGCCGATTCCAGTAAGGGATAGCATAATAACATATAGTACTACCCAGCTTTTAGTTATATATAGGAAAAGAGTAGTAGTAAAGATAGGTGTGGCTGCACACATCACCTTAATAACAGTGGTCATGACTTGCTAGCCTTTTGATTATCCGCCAAAGAACTCGGTAGCATAAATGTGACCAACAATCATCCTTCCTGACCCAGTCATTCCATAAATGAACAATAAAAATGAGTAGGCGTACACATTTAAGAGTACTAGCATTAAGCCATTGGAAATCATGAAAACTAATGATGTCAGAAGAAAAATTTTGCGCCTTCCGTAGATATCTGCATAAGGACCCACAAAAAGAGATCCCACAAAGTAGCCAATATAGAGACTAACACCAAGCATTGCCACTTTCCACTAAGGAGCGCATACCAAGTCTAAATCTATGATCCAATTATGGAGGGTATAGGGATTATCTAAATCTATTTTGGAAGTCACTCCAATTTCTAAGGAACAGTATTCTTATTTATCACAAGGATAGAACTTTCCATCGAGTGAGCACAAAAGCTTTGGCTCTAATTGCAAATAGTGTATTGAGTAAAGAATTGTAACGCTCATCATTATTGGAACTGATATGACTACGAAAGTTATTATCTAAAACCAACTCTACTACTTTTACGTCATTTTTATAGCTTCATCTATTGATACAATAGAAGTTGCACCATTCTTTGGTGAGGTTGGTGCAGTTTCAGATCTCGTAAAGTCTTAAGATTAAATTAAAAGTCTTTCAATAACTTATTTCTCTTTGTCGTGAGTAGAGGTAAAAGAATTATTGGTAGCTTTATCAGAAATTTTAATACTTGATAAGAGTTCTTTGTCGCTCTTCATTATTATCAATATGATGATATGATATTATTATATATGATCAATATTTTCACTCAGCTTTTAATTACTATTCTTCAATGTAATCTAATTTCCAAATCACGGGGTTTTGGGGTTTTGGGGTTTTGGGGTTTTGGGGTTTTGGGG